GATGTGGTACATAACACAATGGAATATTATTCAGCCATAAGAAGAAAACAAATCCTACCATTTGCAACAACATGGATGGAGCTAGAGGGTATTATGCTCAGTGAAATAAGCCAGGCAGAGAAAAACAAGTATCAAATGATTTCACTCATCTGTGAAGTATAAGAACAAAGAAAAAAACTGAAGGAGCAAAACAGCAACAGAATCACGGAACCCAAGAATGGACTAACAGTTACCAAAGGGAAAGGGGCTGCGGAGGATGGGTGGGAAGGGAGGGACAAAGGGGGGCAAAGAGGCATTACGATTAGCATTCATAATGTAGGGGGTGGGAGCACGGGGAGGGCTGTACAACACAGAGAAGACACGTAGTGATCAATAGCATCTTACTACGCTGATGGACAGTGACTGTAATGGGGTATGTCGAGGGGGACTTCATGATGGGGGGAGTCTAGTAACCATAGTGTTGCTCCTGTAATTGTAGATTAATGATACAATAATAAAAACTTACCACTTTAACTATTTTTAAGTGTACAGATCAGTGGATGGCAAGCTGGGTCCTTAACATCAGAAGGAAAGTCATGGGCAGGGGATGAGTATCTAAAGTTCAGGTACAAGGGAAAGTACTGTCAGATACCAGACTGGGACATGTGACAGGTAAGACCAAGAGAACTTTGGTGTCTGATGCACATCTATGTTCCACCCCACTCCCTGTTCCCCTCCCATGCTGGATGAATACAAGCAGGTGTAACAAGCTTCCCAGGTGATTTTAATAAATCCTTTGGGGTGCTGGTTCTGTCTTGACTGCACATTGAAATCACTGGTTTCCTAAGTCTGGGGTTTGCTAGTTGCTAAATTCTGGAGGCTGGTTCTGGTCTAGGTCTCCCAACTTTGGTTATCATTAAGATTGCAGCAGGCTGTCCCCAGCCCTCAGCAGCCTTGGGTCCTTCCTTAATATCCAGGCCAGAGCTCTCTATCCTTGTGATTTCTGCAGAGAAGGGGGCCTCTGTTCTACTACAGGAAAACTGTTAGACCTCTGAACTAAGCCTCAGCATAGGTCTTTCCTAGTCTGGTGCTGAGGACTCAGCCCTGATTAGACCACGCCTGACCGAAGGAGAAATCACATCTTTCTTTAAGGATTCTTCCCAACTATCTCCAGGCAGAATGACTGTGTCCTTCCTAGTATCCTCAAACCCTGGTGCTGTGGGGTAGGGGATGGGAGGACCTCCTTGACTAAGATAATGCTTGGACCAGTGCTTGACCCTGGCAATAATAATTAAAGTTGACCTATGCTGAATACTTAATCTCTACCAGGCACTTTTCTAAGAACGCAACATGATTAAGTCTCTGATCATTACAACTCCATGTAGTGGGCACCATTATTATCTGTATTCGACACATGAAGAAACCGAGGCACAGAGTTTAAGTAATTTGCCCAAAGTCATACAGTCATCTGAGTCAGAGCCAGGATCCCCAGGCAGTATGGTAAAATAAGTAATATGATCTATATTTCTGTGTCCAGGTACTGTTAGCTACTTGACATTCATTTTCACACTTTGCTTTGCAGATGAGAAGTTGAGACTCAAAGAGAAGAAAATGGAGCTGAACCGGATTTGCTTGTCCTGATGCCCCTCTAAACGGGGGCTCCTGTGTTGGCGGGATTCAAGTATCTTCAGGGGACTGCCTCTATCAGATGCATCTGGATGCCATAAAAATGCATATGCCTTGCGATTCTGAGCCAGCAAGGTTGGCAGTGGGTTGTGAGAATCTGCGTTTTACCAAGTATTCCTAGCTGATCCTCATTTACACACAAGGGAGCCCATTAGAGCACACCCTACCAGTCATCTTAGATAAAAATCACTTGAGCATGTGTTTCTTTTCCTCTTTAACAGTTAAAAATGCTTTTGCTGCAAGTAATAGTAAATTCTATTACTATTCTAATTCAACAGTAAATTCTAAGAAAATTTATTGTTTACTTAATAAAATGCCCAGAATTAGACAGTCTCCAGAGGGGTGTAGCAGTTCAGCAGTCCCATCAAGCACCTAGTTCTTTTAAACTTTCTCTTACACTATCCTTGCCTGTTGGCTTTCCTTCCTCATGCTTGTTGCTTCGTAGTTGCAAGATGGCTGCCTCAGATCCAGACATCTTGCTCAAAGTCCCCAGACTGTGTTGGAGCAAGAGGATAGTCTCATGGCTCAGGTCCAGTCAGGCACATGTTCTCACCTGGAATTTTTAATCGGGAGCTGATGGCAAGAAGAAGTGGGGACAATGAGGGCTTCATTCTGGGGGACAATGGGCTTTGGGCCGGCACACCTACAGCAGGCCTCTCCGTGTGGCCTGGGCTTCCTCACAACATAGAGGCCTGATCCCAAGGGTAAGCGTCCTGAGAGAGAGCCAGGCAGAAGCCATGGTCTCTTTCATGATTTATCAGAAGTCACTTGTCATTACTTCCACTGTATTCTGTTCATCAAGGCAGTCTCAAAGGACATTCCTCTAAGGAGGGAGGAATTGGACTTGGCCTTTTGACTGAATCTGGAAGAGCATATCGAAATGCAACTAGTATTGTGGCCATTTTTGAAAATATGCTCTGCCACAGCCTCCCCCACCCTTGCCCACCCCCTCCCACTGCACCACCAAATTCAAATCAACACTGGTCAGCCAGGGTCAGGCTTTCCAGTCTTTATCACCTGTCTTATCACATTCCTCTTTGACAACACATCTTCCTTCTCATGCCTCCCTCTGCCAGGGTCCAACCGCCCTGTCCACCACTGGATGGTGAGTAAGTCCTAATGAGACAGGGACCATGGGTATAGTCAGAGTAGGGTGAGGGCCTCTGGAAAAAGCAAGGCAGGGTATTTACAGTCAGAGCAGTGTAACTACACGCAAGAAAGCCCCCCTACCAAAACTCTGTGTTAAACATTAAGCTCTAGGGTCATTCTTCAGTGAGATCGGTTAATATTCCCCAGATAAAGAAGAGTAGCGCATGTTTTTATGATGCTAATCATTTGTAATCATGTGTAAGATTCACTTTAGCATGCTAAAAGGCCCAGGCCTATGTGCTGTCTTTCCTCCTTCAGATCTGATGAGGTGATTTTGCAAACTGGTCAACTAATTGGCCATGCAGACCCAGCTGTAAACAACATAATAAAAAGCAGGAAGGATTCCACCTTAAAGATAAGATTGCATTTTAACAGCCAGGAAGTTTAAGAAGTAAGATTCTTAACTTACTCTTTATCAAACAGACAATACCTCAGTCCACCTTGGGGGCTGGGCAGGTGGACTTTTGATATGCTTCTAGACCAAGATGCCAGTATCCCAGGAGAAATCAGAGCAGTAAATTTCTTGTGTTAAGTTCATTTTTAATATTCAGGGACTACTTAACAAGTCCACACCCCTAAGCCTTTTATCCAGTTACCAAAAATCCTCAACTGCCTATAAAACCCCTAGACAACGCACCACTACGGGCTCTCTTGTCTCCTCCTGGAGTGAGCAAGGAGCTCTGTCCTCTCACTGTATCTCTAAATAAAAGCCTCTCCCTGGCTCTCCTACCTTGACCGTTTGCTAACTTCATTCTTCGACTCCACAGACAAGAACCCCGGCATCACTAGCAGCATTCATCTGAGAAGTCCTCCCTGACTGCCCCAGTCTTCCAGCCGAATCTCAAGTCTTGTTTTCCCTCTGGAATCTGCCTCTCCTTTCAGGACTGGTGTGGGGCTCTAAGCACCTGGGAGCTCCACTGAAGAAGACGCTTCCTGGGCCTAGGCCAGGGTCCCAGCACAGTGGTTAGGGGGTTAGACACGGAGAGGTGGCTGATTGGGTGAGGGCAGATTGAGCCTGGAGGGGGAGCTAAAGAGCTTCCTGCTTCACAGCCCCCAGGGGTCAGCTAGTGGAGGGAGAGGGAATCCCCGAATTGCTCGAGCTAATAGATGGTGGTGCCCACTGCATGCCTCCTTTCTTCACACCCCACCTTCAGTCCCTTGGGATGTCTGGTGGGCTCTGCCTTCTCCAACACTTCTCACCCCATCCTTGCTACCACCTTGGCCTGTCATCTCTTACCTGGATGGTTTTAATAACCTCTTCACTGGACTCCCTGCAACAGCAGAGGGTTTCTTTTAAAACACAGGTCAGATCCTGTCTCTTCTCTGCTCAAAATCCTCTTGGGCTCCCCATCTCATTCAGAATAGAAGAAAAAGTCCTTACAGTGGTCTACAAGGCCCTGTGGGATCTTTGCCCCCTCCAGCCTCCTCTCTGCCTTCACTGGGGTTCCTCTGGCCCTCATAGCCCCACGGGGAGCACTGCTTCCTGTATGCTCTGCGTACATACCAGGGATACTCCCACTAAAGGGCTTTGCCCCACTGTTCCTGGAACTCACTCCTTTAGGTCTTCACATGACTCTTCCTTATAGTTCATGTTGGGTTTCTACCCAAGTATCACCTATCAGAGGGCCAGCCCAATCCAGTCACTCCCTAACACCCTCCCCCCATCAGTGTATTAATCATTACTTGAATTTACACTTTATATTTGTAAGATAAATTTTAGCCGAAATAAGTAGGAGAGTCAGAGCCAGGATCCCCAGGCAGTATGGTAAAATAAGTAATATGATCTATATTTCTGTGTCCAGGTACTGTTAGCTACTTGACATTCATTTTCACACTTTGCTTTGCAGATGAGAAGTTGAGACTCAAAGAGAAGAAAATGGAGCTGAACCGGATTTGCTTGTCCTGATGCCCCTCTAAACGGGGGCTCCTGTGTTGGCGGGATTCAAGTATCTTCAGGGGACTGCCTCTATCAGATGCATCTGGATGCCATAAAAATGCATATGCCTTGCGATTCTGAGCCAGCAAGGTTGGCAGTGGGTTGTGAGAATCTGCGTTTTACCAAGTATTCCTAGCTGATCCTCATTTACACACAAGGGAGCCCATTAGAGCACACCCTACCAGTCATCTTAGATAAAAATCACTTGAGCATGTGTTTCTTTTCCTCTTTAACAGTTAAAAATGCTTTTGCTGCAAGTAATAGTAAATTCTATTACTATTCTAATTCAACAGTAAATTCTAAGAAAATTTATTGTTTACTTAATAAAATGCCCAGAATTAGACAGTCTCCAGAGGGGTGTAGCAGTTCAGCAGTCCCATCAAGCACCTAGTTCTTTTAAACTTTCTCTTACACTATCCTTGCCTGTTGGCTTTCCTTCCTCATGCTTGTTGCTTCGTAGTTGCAAGATGGCTGCCTCAGATCCAGACATCTTGCTCAAAGTCCCCAGACTGTGTTGGAGCAAGAGGATAGTCTCATGGCTCAGGTCCAGTCAGGCACATGTTCTCACCTGGAATTTTTAATCGGGAGCTGATGGCAAGAAGAAGTGGGGACAATGAGGGCTTCATTCTGGGGGACAATGGGCTTTGGGCCGGCACACCTACAGCAGGCCTCTCCGTGTGGCCTGGGCTTCCTCACAACATAGAGGCCTGATCCCAAGGGTAAGCGTCCTGAGAGAGAGCCAGGCAGAAGCCATGGTCTCTTTCATGATTTATCAGAAGTCACTTGTCATTACTTCCACTGTATTCTGTTCATCAAGGCAGTCTCAAAGGACATTCCTCTAAGGAGGGAGGAATTGGACTTGGCCTTTTGACTGAATCTGGAAGAGCATATCGAAATGCAACTAGTATTGTGGCCATTTTTGAAAATATGCTCTGCCACAGCCTCCCCCACCCTTGCCCACCCCCTCCCACTGCACCACCAAATTCAAATCAACACTGGTCAGCCAGGGTCAGGCTTTCCAGTCTTTATCACCTGTCTTATCACATTCCTCTTTGACAACACATCTTCCTTCTCATGCCTCCCTCTGCCAGGGTCCAACCGCCCTGTCCACCACTGGATGGTGAGTAAGTCCTAATGAGACAGGGACCATGGGTATAGTCAGAGTAGGGTGAGGGCCTCTGGAAAAAGCAAGGCAGGGTATTTACAGTCAGAGCAGTGTAACTACACGCAAGAAAGCCCCCCTACCAAAACTCTGTGTTAAACATTAAGCTCTAGGGTCATTCTTCAGTGAGATCGGTTAATATTCCCCAGATAAAGAAGAGTAGCACATGTTTTTATAATGCTAATCATTTGTAATCATGTGTAAGATTCACTTTAGCATGCTAAAAGTCCCAGGCCTATGTGCTGTCTTTCCTCCTTCAGATCTGATGAGGTGATTTTGCAAACTGGTCAACTAATTGGCCATGCAGACCCAGCTGTAAACAACATAATAAAAAGCAGGAAGGATTCCACCTTAAAGATAAGATTGCATTTTAACAGCCAGGAAGTTTAAGAAGTAAGATTCTTAACTTACTCTTTATCAAACAGACAATACCTCAGTCCACCTTGGGGGCTGGGCAGGTGGACTTTTGATATGCTTCTAGACCAAGATGCCAGTATCCCAGGAGAAATCAGAGCAGTAAATTTCTTGTGTTAAGTTCATTTTTAATATTCAGGGACTACTTAACAAGTCCACACCCCTAAGCCTTTTATCCAGTTACCAAAAATCCTCAACTGCCTATAAAACCCCTAGACAACGCACCACTACGGGCTCTCTTGTCTCCTCCTGGCGTGAGCAAGGAGCTCTGTCCTCTCACTGTATCTCTAAATAAAAGCCTCTCCCTGGCTCTCCTACCTTGACCGTTTGCTAACTTCATTCTTCGACTCCACAGACAAGAACCCCGGCATCACTAGCAGCATTCATCTGAGAAGTCCTCCCTGACTGCCCCAGTCTTCCAGCCGAATCTCAAGTCTTGTTTTCCCTCTGGAATCTGCCTCTCCTTTCAGGACTGGTGTGGGGCTCTAAGCACCTGG